CTGCCTTTTGTCGAAGGAGCTCTGTGGAAGACTTGGTAATGTGCTGTCACCGAATTTGTTTATATTTGCTACATGTCTTATTGGACCAAGGAACAGCGCAGGTGGGCATCCCGTCTACCCCCTCTGCCCTGCACCTCGGGAGTACTTCATTTTTGCTGCCTATTGGCTGAGACCAGCAGCCTCTGAGCGCACATGACAACTAACAGCCAATCAATACTCCCCAAATTTTTAAAGATTCACAGGGGTTTAATGCATATAAAGTCAAGGAAAGAACAGTCCAGGTTCAGTAGCAATATTCTACACAATTCATATGATGGGGTTGGGAGGCAAGGGGAAGAGGCCATACAATCCACACCCCAGTATGTTCAAAAAGAGCTATGCACAGAGCAAACCCCACCTGCAAGGATGAGGTAGCTTTCTCCCAGTCCCCAGCAGCCAGGGGGCACATTACCCCAAATAGCACAGTGGGCGCTAACCCATGGGGGCCCAAGGTCCTGGCGGGGGTGAGGGGGGCACTAGTCCAGAGGGAAGGAGGCCCTGAGGCCGTTGGTGGCTGAGCATGGCCTCTGAAGCTTGTCCACCGGCATGCAGGCACAGTGGAACCGGCCGGCCAGCCCCTGGAGGCAGGGGTACTCCTCCAGGGGGCTCAGGCGGTACCTAACAAAGTCCCACTTCTCGTCGAGGTCGGTAAATAGCTGCCATGAGTGGGCACAGGATGAGTCTGGCACGGTCCTAGAAGTTGATGTGCACACAGCCAGACTGAGGTGCAAGATGATGGACTAGCAGGTGCAAAACCAGGTGCACAGGCGGGGTAGCTGGGCTAGATTCTGGGGCGTGGTCTTGGCATCTGCCTTCAGCAGGTGTTCGCTCACATGGTTTCAGAAACCCTTAAAGTGGGTGATCTTCTTCATCGAGGAGCTGGGATGGGAGCCCACCGCGAGGGAGGACTCTATGTCATCATGCTCTACATTCTTCAGGCTGTCACTGTCGTTGCAGAGAATGAGTCATGTAATCGAAGCACGCCCCCACACTGTTGTCACACCAGGCTGTCCTTGTCCAAATAGTCCCCCCACTTGCCATCCCAGAAGATGGGGATGCAGGCGGGATCCTCAGGCGGCGGCTTGGAGGCATTAATGCCATGTAACTGCCACAGCATGTCCCCAAGGGGGGAATCTACCACCTTACTGGTCTCCTGGACCGCTGATTCCTCTTTCCCAGGGGGCTGGGGCTGGGGCTTCTTGTTGCCTTTACTGAGGATTATGAGAAGCTTCTGGTGCTGGGGTCCAGGCTGCTGGGAACGACTGAAAACCTCAGTGGAATGGTGAGGCAGGTGCGGGGACAAGGGCAGGGATGAGGCCGGAAGTAAAGAACTTGTGATTGAGCAGCTCGTGAGAGGTCTGACAGGCAATGGAAACTGTCCGAAGCATCTTGTGAACTCGGGAGGTGGCCATGGGGTTGATGTGCTTGGAATACTGTATTCATTCTTTATCAGTGTCTTTGAGGCAAGACATCTCAAAAGGTGGTTTGCCCAATGGCAAGGTACACGTGACTCACCCAAGGGACATGTCCACTTCAGAACCATGCCCTCTTGCTCAGCACCTCTGGAGCTATGTTAGTAGGGGTCCCGCCCAGGGGCTTCTTCCTCCCCTTGTCATACTTGACTTTGGTTGCCAATCAGAATCCCCTAGTTTCGCCTCCAGATCCTCACCAAGTAAGAGTTAGCCCAGCTTGAGGTCCCAGTGATGAACTTGGTTTCAGGGCAGGTCCTGGCATCCAAGGAGGCTCAGTCAGTGCTTTCTTCCCCAGACATCTCCAGCAGCAGAGCTCCAACACCAAGTCGTGTACTCGAAAAAGCCATGGAAGCCCATGGCATGTCGGCGGGCGAGGCTGCGGTGAATGCACACCTTCATGGATGCCTTCTCCTTCTTCTGGTACAGCTTGAGTAGCAGCGACGTAGGCAAGATTTTGCCCACAAACACCTTGGTGTCTGAGACCTAGATTTCGAAGCACTTGATGAAGGTGCCCTTTCCCAGAAAGCAACACCTGCAGATAGCACCGCCGGCTGCAAGGGTCCACTAGGACCTCCCGGATCTCCTTCATAGGAGCTTGGCTGCGGCTGGGAGCCCCAGGAGCCGAAACTTCTGAGACCCTGGCTTTTCCAGGGCTGACTGGGGCTGGCTTCCCTGCAGTCGCCATCGCCCGTCCTGTTCCGGGAGTTGCTCAGCGGACCTAGTAGGGTCTGACGGAGGCTTGGCCCTGCTGCGCTGCTTCCTGATTCGAACGCAGTGCTGGGAACATTACAAAAGCCTCTTTTTTTTTTTTTTTTATTCTACAACTAGAGAGGGAGTGGCTCAGGTCCTCCCTGTGCCCTAGGCTGTCCCACTCTGTGCCCTGGACCCCATTCCCTGAGGCCGCCAGTCCTGGGGATGGGCTTATTTCCTGGGACAGAGGGGAAGTAGAGGCAGGCATTCGGAGGGAAAGTGGCTTTATCAGATTAACTGGTTAAAATGCTCGGGCTCCCAGCTTCTGTGAGCAAGCTGCCCCAGTGTCCTGTGTACCCAGTGGTTTCCAGGCTGATGGGGGGTTGTTTATCTTCCAAACTCTTGGCCAGCCCTGCATCTCACCCAAGGGCTGTCATTTGGGGAATGTTTTGACTTGAAACATTCAAGCCGGTGGTGGTAGTTGGAGGTGTGAGACCCTTCTGTGTGCAAAGGAAAAATGAATGGTCTATTTAGAACCTGCTAACAATTCACAGTATAAAGAACAGGCAACAGTCCCCCCGCTGAAATGCGCTTTCTGAGGGTAGCGCGCCCCAGGGGAGCTGGCTCTGTGGCCAGCATGGCCCCAGCTCTGGATATTGCATCTGCAAGACCTCCCTTGCCAGCGGTGGTAATGCTTCCAGAAGATTGTGCCTCTGCTCCGGCTCTTTCTGGGCCTCTCCTCAACCCCTTCCCAGAATACTCTCTTCCTAGGGCCTGTGGTGTTCTTGGGCTATGAGTAAGACGACTTTTCCCAAAACCACATGAACTTTGCTCTGGACAAACAAGGGAAGGGTGGCTGTTTGGAAATGCCTAAAACAGCTTCTCTTGAGCCTGAGTTGTGAGGTTTTACCTCACCATCGCAGACACAGAGTTCACCTGAAGGAGGAAGCTGGTTTTCCTCTCAGGACAAAATGGTGGTCCCTGGAGCCTTGGGTACATTCCCGGGTGTTTCTATCCCCAGAGCGATGCATACTAGGATCAGAAGAGAAGGTGAGAAGCATAGGCTTCTAAACACTCAGCCAAGTGAAAATCAGCCAGTTTACTGAAATGCCAAAGTTTTGTTCAGAAATCAATGGCAATTAGGAATAATACCATTCCTAATTTATCAAAAGGAATTCCATACAGGGACAAGAAATCTCAGTCAAAATCCTGATAGGTTTTTGTTTAGAAATTCACAACCTGATTATAAAATTTATATAGAAATGCAAGGGATCTAGAATAGGAAAAACAATTTTGAAAAAGAACAAAGTTGTCTTTTGACTAATACTACCCGATTTGAAGACTTAATATAAAGCTACAAAAATAGACAATGGGGTCCTGGACACACATAGAGTATAGACACACAAGTACAAACAGATCGATCAATGGAACAGAATAAGAGTCCAGCTATGGGTCCATACATATATGGTTCATAAGTTGTGCTGGTATAATTGGACATTCATATGCATAAATGAACTTTGACCCTTCCTGCAAATCACACACAAAATGAACTTGAAATGGATCAGTACTAAATGCAAGAACTAAATTTATAAAGCTTCTGAAAGAAAACTGGAGGATAAAACCATTACGGCTTTGGATTAAATAAAGATATGTAGGGGCACCTAGGTGGCTCAGTCGTTGGGCGTCTGCCTTCCGCTCACGTCATGATCCCAGGGTCCTGAGATCGAGCCCCGCATCAGGCTCCCTGCTCAGCGGGAAGCCTTCTTCTCCCTCTCCCACTCCCCCTGCTTGTGGTCCCTCTCTCACTATCTCTCTCTCTCTATCAAATACATTTTTAAAAATCTTAAAAAAAAATAAAGTAAAAATATTTAACTAGGACACAAAAGCCATGCATCATAAAAATAAAACTTGATAAATTAGACTTAATCAAAATTTTTTTAATCCTGCTCTTCAAAAGATAGTGTTAAGAAAAATGAAAAGATAAAGCACAGACTGTGATAAAATATGTGTAAAGCATATATCTGACAAAGATGTGTGTAATATATGTACACATTTGATAAATATGTTCCACATCATTAGTCATTAGGAAAATACAAGTTAAAACCGCAGTGAAATACCATTACATATCCATTAGAATGGCTAAAAGTAAATTTAAAAAATTGACAATACCAAGTGTTGACAAGAGTGTGGAGCACTAGAACTTCCATACATCGCCCATGGGAGTACAAAAACAGTATGGTGCACACTTCGCAAGATTTCATAAAGATAAGCATCCACTTAGCATTTCACTCAACAACCCCATTCTTAGGTATTTTACCAAGAGAAAGGAAAGCATAAGCCCACAAAAAGACTTGCACTCTTTTTTCTTTTAAGATTTATTTAATTATTTGAGAGAGAGAGAGAAAGCAACAAGGGAGGGGCAGAGGGAAAGGGAGAGAGAGACTCCTCAAGGAGACTCCCCGCTGAGTGCAGAGCCCAACTTGGGACTCGATCCCAGGACCCTGAGATCATGACCTGAGCCAAAATCAAGGGTCGGCCACTTATCTGACTAAGCCACCCAGGCGCCCCAGGACTCGCAGTGTTAATGTTCACCGGAGCTCTATTCATAAACATTGAAAAGTAGAAAGTACTTCAATGTGCATCAACTGACAAACAGTTTAACATATTGCAATATATCCGTATAACGGAATATTACTTGACTAACTACTGATGCATGCAGCAACACGGATGAACTGCTGATTGAAAGAAGTAGCTTTTTCCCGGGGTGAGTGTGGGGCCTGTTTGACACCCAGAGCCCACACTCCTACCACCCTCCAGCTCCCTGGCCCCAGTTCCCCCACCACCTAGACTGCAATTCTTAGGGAACTGGGAATGGCTCCCTCTCCTTCCTGAACAATCTGTACTTTTTCTCAGTAAATATTGAATCGATTTGAATAATTACAGTAACAAGATTTCAGGATGCAGGAGAGACCTACTTTAAATAGCTACTTTCCAGGACAAAGTAATATCGTTGATTTTTATAAATGGAGAATGTGATCCTAATAATTGATCCTTCACCCACCCAGCATGCCCTGAGTTTTTGTGAGTGCAGGGCGCAGTGCAGGTGCCAAGGATGCCAAGGGGTGCCTCCCAGCCCTTGCTTTTTCAATCAGGTCTTACAGGACCTATTGCAATGAATGCTTTCTTAGCCTAGACACTCATTCATCCCACAAATATTTATCGAGCACCTACAATAAAACCAAAAGTCAAATTTGAAAATGTATTCTCTACAACAGACTTATTTTCAGATCCTATGAGAACAAATAATTAAGAAAGTTTTGTTATTTGTTAATTTTGTTTTCTGAATCAACTTTTTTTTCTCCATTCTGTTCACCAGAGCAAGGTGGAGAAAACCCGGAATCGCAGGGCCTGCCGTTCAGAAAAAGAGGATCCCCTTACACTCTGGGCACCTCCTAGAGAGCAGAAACTGACCTGCTCTCGCTGGATTCTGGGGTCTTAGCAAATATGAATTTTTGGGTAAATGTTTGTTGAACTTCACTAAATTTTAAATTATTCAACTGCTCGGGGTGAAAAACAACCAGTTCCTGGAAAGTAACTAGATGTACCTTTTAAATTCAGCTTCAGGTAAAGTCAGATGAGTTGCATTTGCTCGGATGGAAATCATATGCTCGGCCAAGGTAAGGACCAGGGTGGCCCTAGCCACAAAGGCTGAAACTAGAGCTTGAAGACAGGGAAGGTAGGGAACCATGGACTAAAACCTGAAAATGAAAAGGTGGAGACATTTTTGTAGACAATCAAGAGGGCTTTGAGTTTGAGGGGACAGTGCTTGTCCGCATAGAGACATCCAGCCAGCAGCCTGGAGCTTGAGGGAAGAGCCGTCGGACGACAGATGGACAAGGTGACCTTGAGCACTCAGCCTCGCCCCTCAGTCCGCTTCCCACCCCCCTCACCAACCAACAGGTTTGCTGGTGCTACCTTTTAAATATTTCTTGACTCTTTCCTGCCCTCCTACCTCCCGTGTACAACTCCAGGCCCTCATAAGCTCTTCCTTCTCTCAGGTCTGCCCTGCCAGTCTCTGTCCCCTTAAATCCACCCTTCACATCAGCACCAGAGTCGTTTATTTGAAACAAAATTCCCAGCGTCTTCCATTCCTGCTTAAAGCTTCTCGAACACCTGTCTCCCTCTCGTTCTTCAACACTAGGACAAGCATCCTCTCCTACGGAACACAGTCCCTGTTGCCTCCACGATGAGCTCGGTGACCATGACCCCCATGCACTTAGAGCTCCCGGTGCCCCCTCCTGACCACACTGAGCCGTAAGTACCTAGTGGCCGCTCCTCAGGACTCAACCACACCTGGGCATCTCCATGCTCCGCCCCGATGCCAGTGCCTGGGGCACACAGGTGTTCGTTCATTTTGGGAAGAGGGGGCGGGGAAGAGGGTCAGGGGTGCCTGGGTGGCTCAGTCGGTTGAGTGTCTGACTCTTGGTTTTGGCTCAGGTCATGATCTCAGGGTTGGGGGACCGAGACCCACTTCGGGCACCACATTCAGCACGGAGTCTCCTTGAGATTCTCTCCTCCTCTTTCTCCCTCCCCCTCAGTTCCTCCCCCGGCTTGTGTTCTCTGTCTCTCTCTCTCTAAAATAAATGGATAAAATCTTAAAAAAAAGAAAAAGAAGAAAGAAAGAAAGCCAGATACTGATCTTAAAAACTGTCTTCATATGCTAGGGAATCAGCCAAGGTTCCCATATCCCACCTGAAGGGGCTCCGCGGGCTGCTGAGGCAGAACTGGGAGCTAACTCCTAGCTTTGCCACGGCCTAGCTGGTTGACGTTGATCAGGCTGCCTCACGTCTCTGGGCCTCAGTCTTCTCACTGAAATCGGGGAGTTGGTCCAGATGAACTCCACAGTCCCTCCAGCGCCCATTCCAGGGGCACTGCAGGTCTCCAGTCCCCTCTCAGCACCCAGGACCTCCCCTCTTAGGGCCTCCTGCATTTGCCCTGCCCTGGGCCCGCCTGTCTGGTCCCCTGACCTCCCTCACCCAAAGCTGGTGAGAAGCCACGACAGCCTCCTTATATGGTGGTGACAGTCACAGCCTCACCCGCGGACTCCACCAACAGCTTTCACTGGGGCTTAAACTCGGCTTCTCTTCGGAGATTAAACAGCTGTTTTCGGGGACTGGGCTTACTTCTCATAAAGTGCTGAGTCCAGGGGCCACGCCTTTGAAACTTCTTTATTGTCTTCTTTAAAACCTCGTTAAATTCCTCTTTCCACCCACTGTTGGAGAGGCCACCAGGCCTTGGGGGGGCACAGTCCTTCCTCCCACAGCAGCTACCCCTCGCCTAACTGGGCAGCATCCTCCATGAATAAGGAAGCACTGCTGGCTCAGACCAGGCATCGAGGTGCCCCTCCGCCCCCTACAGGTGGAGAAAGGAATTGAAGGACACGGTCTCTCTCCCCAAGTTCCTGAGTCTAGTACAGGTAAGGAAGAGCTATTGAGGAGGGTGGTGATAAAAGGAGTACACATCCCAATCTTAAATTAGTTCTATCTTTTATCTCCCAATACTATATAAGTTCCGCAAGGACAGAGACCTTGTCTTGCACGCTCACCACTGGATTACCTGCGTGCTGTGACTGGCACATTCAAGAGATACCTGTTGAATGAGAGCATGTCATGTTCTTTGCCATATCCCCAGCTCCTAGAGCAAAACTTGGTTTAATAAATTCTTGCTAAAGGAATAAATGAATAAATGGGGGAGAGTCAGGACAGGGCTTTGAAGGATGAATAGAAGTTAATCAGCCAAGGAACATAAAAAGAAAGGGGCAAGTCGGGGGGCTATTGGCTGGCTCAGTTGGTGGAGCATACAACTCTAGATCTCAGGGTCATGAGTTTGAGCCCCACGTTGGGCATAGGGTTTACATTAAAAAAATTTTTTAATAAAAATAAATAAAAGAAAGGGGCAGGAGATTTCAAGGGCAGAGAGGATGACATTTACAAAGGTGAATGAATGAAAGCGTGGACTTCCAGTGAATAGTGACTTGTTGGAAGTGGCCCAGTATTTATCTGAAAATGAATATAACTAAAGTGTGATAGAAAAGTGGCTGAAGACCAGCTAGGTTTTCTCATTTCTCTCCCTTCTACCACCAACATATCCGCTTGAGATCATTAACAAAGTCACAGAGCCCTGGGTTTTTCCACTATATTAATCACAATTTTTTTGTCTGCCAGTGACAGAAATTTAATTCAAGCTAGCTCAAGCAAAAGAACTAGCAAGTGTAGGGGCTGGCTCTTTCATCATATGTGTGTATCTATCTATCTTTCTATCTGTCTGTCTATCAACTATCTCATCTTGGATTTTCTCCCTTCTAGATAGAGTAATCTCATTCTCTCCTATTTCAAACAGCTTCTTGTTTACAGGGAGGGAGACATGCTTCTATGGCCCCAGCAGCTCTGGAACCACCCATATAAAAATTCCAGGAAGAGACTCTGATGGGTTCTGTTTGGGTCGCATGCTCACTCTAGACCAATTCCTGTGACTTGGCCGGCAGGGATCATGTGCCCTCCCATGACTGATGGACCCAGGAGAAGGAGAGGAATGTTCCCCCAAATGCTGGATAAAATTAGTCCATGCTTTGCCAGGTGTCCCAGGCATCCAGCCAGGTGCCACGGTGTGGACACGCGGCAGTCAGGGCTTCATTCAGTGTAGGAGAAAGTAAACTCAGAATATGGCCTCTTTCATGTCTGCCTGTAACTTCTCTGGGCCTTAGTTTCTCTATCTGTAAAATGAGTATGTAGGGCTACATGCATCTTCAAAGGTACCTTCCAAATATGATGTTCTGAGATGTTTATTTACATTTAAAGTCTTGCTCACTTGACTTGGATAATGGCAATGTCTAGTTTTTTGCTTGATTAACTCATGAGGTAGGTTTGGATATTCTATCTTTGTTGTTCTCGGTCATTTCAAAAATACCAATCTATTGTTCAGCAAAGGAATCTAATCTTTTCCCAAAGCACATTTTTCAGTCTCCTTCAGAATGTCAATTATTTGAATCATCACCTTGGCAAGAATGAGATATTTGGGGGTGAAGTACTTGCAATCGATCCCAATTTATAATGCTGGGGCCCAAAACTGTTATTATTTCTAATTGATCCTGGGAGCTGCAGGAAGGGAAATCACTGCTCCCTCAGGTTATTTGGGGCCCATTTGACCTTGGTAGGGAATATTCCAAAGTGGGGTCTCTGAGCCTGGAAACTTTGCTGTTTTATATTCATTGAGCTCCATGATGAGATGCAGGGCAATGACAACCACAGATGCACTAAGATGCACTAAGAGGAACTCTGTTCCTCTTCTGAGCACCTCCATCTGCCCCTCCCCCATCTCCAACAGTCCTGGGCTAGAGCCCGGCACAGAGAAGGAAAACGTGCTCACAGTCAACTGTTGGTGAAGCTTGAATTTCAAACCCAAGACTTCTGACTTCTGGTCTCCACTTCTTCTTCAACACAATTATCCCCTGCCTCCTCTTCACTTCCAGCCCTATTCAGAGCCTCCTTGTCCAGAGGACTGAAACCAAGTCCAACCCTTCCCCGCCCCTAGCTCTCAAGGTCTCCTTGGTGACACCATGACCCTGACCACCAGCCACTCCAGGCCTTTCTGTTTTGCTTCCCACGGCATCTTGAGTTGGCGCTCTGACTTCTGGGCACCTGCTCTATTTGCAGAGAAAGCTCTTTCCTTAACTCAAGCCTGATAATCTGACTCCCTGAGGGATCCTCTAACACAGCCGGGCCTTTGTCTGATGGCAGAGGCTGTCTCCCCCGACATGTATCTGCGCTCTGTCTGGGGCCCCCCACCCGCAGCCTCCCTCCCCTGCACACAATGGAAGACCTGTGTCTTTCACCACCGGGAGGATGTTACAGCGGATGCTGGGGCGGCTGCCAACCCTCGGGGCTGCGGAAACCTTCGTGGCCTGGCGGCTGAGCTGACAAGGTCAGCAGTTGGGTTGGTCCTGGGTCACAGGGGCTAAATCCAGTGAGACCACTGGCTCAGAGAAGAGGTGACCAGACTTTTCCCAAAACTCCCACTCACGTCCGGCAGAAGCAGCCTGTTCCTCAGAGATCACAGCTTTCTTTGACTGCCTCGAGAGGCCCAGGTCCGACATAGCAACCAAAAACTTCCTGACTTGGGAAGAATCCCCGATTGTCCTCTTCATCATTTTTCTCACAAGTCTAATACAAGCCAATCTATCCATTCATCCATCCACCCATCCATCCATCTTTAATCTATTTTTTCATTCATAAAAATATTTATTGGACTCTTACTATATTCCTGGATAATTAAGAAGCTGACCTGCCCTTTCTGAGTCTCCTGTTCCCCATGCCTCAAAGCCCACCGTAAATGCTTCCTCCAACAGCACAGCTCTCCTAGCATTGCTATATTAATTCTCTTTGGTAGTATGCAGAACCTTCGAGCACTCACTGCTCCCTACTGTCTCCACACTCAGGCCTTCCCGGGGTGACTGGTCCTGCGGCTTCCTGTTAGTGCTGCTCCAGACTGGGAGGGAAATACCCGAGTCAGAGTTTCTTATTCTCCACTCCTCACCCAGACCCCTGGATCAATCAGCCTTTCCACGCGCATCCTTTCCCACAGGACACCTCTGCCCTCGCTCACCGGGTACTTCATTAGCAACCCAGTCTGTCTGTGTCCTGCTACTCTACCTTCTCAGCTTGATACCAGATCCATCTTCCCACCAAAGCATCGTCATCATGCCTTGCACAGACTCTAACATGCATTCATTGTCTACTGCTCGGGGGATTTTTTTTTCAGTCATTCATCAAGTATTTGTTGAGCACCTACCATATTCCAATGACTCTGCAAGACCACTGAGCCTAGAACAGTGAGCAAAATATAAATGCAGTCTAGATAGAAAGACAAAAATGGACCAGGAAGACAGTAAGGTTGATTGGCCCTGCTTGGGGAGTGTTTCACGGGAACGCTGAGGTGGGTCCGGGAGGGATCTGTCAGGAAAGGTTTCCCGGAGAGGGGGGACAGGTAACCCGAATAAAAACTCCCTTGCCTGCATTCAAGGTCTATTCTTGTCCTGCAAGCTAAGAGTGTTTGCACTGAGTACGCCCCTCCTCCACCAGCTCAAACACCCTGTCCCACCCACCTTCCTCCTTCCACCTCTATTGTGAATTGTTTGTCCATGTGTGGAACGCAAATCCCCAACTAAATGAGAAATTCCAGCAGGGCAGGACCGGCTGCCTTTGAGCCCAGCCCGGCCCTGTGGTCTGCACTGCACTGTCCACATGATGTGTTTTAAA